ATAAATATTGCTTTCTTCTTTTGCAGAGAGAAACAGTGTGTGTTAACTTTTGCTTGTTTTTTCATTAGTCCAGATTACTCCAATTACTTACATGGTATGATTTGGAAGACTATAGAGTGAGCTTTCCCCTGCCTCTTAACCCAGTCAGTCAAAAACACCTCTTGAGAAAATCTTCCCAGCAGAGCCCAACAGTTGAGGAGCATCTGTACACCATGCACTGCTCAGAAAAGACCTGCTAAAGTGACACAAACCAGTTCTGAATCATTGGTGCATAGTGTAGGAAACAGGAAAGATCCACCCAGTGAACTACAAACAGCCAATAAGCCTCAGTGTACCACATGAGGCCTGGAAACAGCCTGACCAGCAATGCCAACCAGCTGGGGAACATTGGGGCACCATACAGTGCCAAGGAAATCCCTTCCCAGAGACCTCAATGAGCAGAGAAGAACCATGGTTCATGTCAGGAACTAGGAAAGAATCACCCTGTGACCCCAATGATCTAGAGAGCTTAGGTGAACCATGAAGGTCCAGAGAAAAGCCTGTCCAACAATCCCAACCAGCCATGGAGCAACAGGGTGCAGCACAGGACCCAGCAAAGATCCACCAAGCAAGCCCAACCAACCACTTGAATGAATGTGAAGATAGATTCTCAGACCTCAAGGCACGATCACAGCTAGTGATCAGGAAAGGAAAGATCTTTTAAAAATAATAAAGAACCAGGGAATAACAATTCAGCAGTTGCAAGATAATGCAAACAAAAGCAATATAAGATGAATAGATGTAAGTGGAAAAGAAGGTATTAGAACAAATGAATTTAAAATACTACTTATAGAAATAATACCAGAAAATTTTCCAAGCATGGAAAAAGAAATTGCCGTACAGATAAGAGAATCATATAGAACTCAAATTAACCATTACCAAAATAAATCTACACCCAGACATATAATAATTAGCATCCCAGAAATCCAGAATAAGATCAGAACAGTATAAGCTGTTAGAGAAAGAAATAGATCACCTATAAAGGAAAGCCCATCAAAATCACAGAAGCCTTCAACACAGTCAGGTCAAGAAGAGCATGGAGTAAAGTATTTCAACTCCTAAAAGAAAACAACTTGCAACCCAGATTGATGAACCCTGCAAAACTATCTTTAAAATCAATGGAAAAATAAAATATTTCCATGACAAAAAAAAAACAACTAAACAACTACATGATCACCAAACCAACCCTGTAGAGTACTGAAACATATTTTAGATAGACAAAAAAGACTACAACTTTAAGAATACTAACAGAAACAAACCACCAAGTAGGGCAAATAGTTAAACAGAGGGGAAAATAAACAACAAACCGCAAAACATAACATGACAGAAATAAGCTAATATACATCAGTTACAACCATTAATGTAAATGGCCTCTATTGACCAATTAAAAGAAACTGACTGGTAGAATGGATCAAGAAACAACATCTAATCATATACTGTATACAAGACACCCGTCTAACACAAAAGAAAATTCATATACTAAAAGTCAAAGAATTAAAAATAATACTTCCTGCAACAGGAATTCAGTCAAAATCGGGGGAAGCTATTCTGTTGCAGATAATGTGAACTTCAAACCAAGAACTATCAAAAGAGATAAAGAAGGTCACTACATACTGGTTAGGGGCAAACTTCAAGAGGAAAAGATAACAATGTTAAATATATTTCCAACAGACACAGGAGTATCCAACTATATAAAACAAATATTAATAGAAACAAAAATCAAACAAGCATAAAACTACAATAGGAGTTCTTAACACCCTATTGTCACAAACAGAAAAATCAATTAGACAAAAAAAATTAACAAAGAAGTAACAAAACTGAACCAAACTTCTGAATAAATGGGCTTAATAAATGTGAGCAGAGTAATGCACCCACTAACATCAAAATACATTTTCGTCTCAGCTGCACATGGAACATTATCAAAATAGATCATGTACTAGCCCATAGGACATGATTAAGTGAACACAAAAGAATCAAAATTATCCCATGCATATTATCTGACAATAGAGAAATGAAGTTGGAAATGAATGACATATAACTGCAAATGGAAGTTCTATATTGAGTAAGCATAAGCAAATGGAATTTAAGTAATATCATCTTGAATAACCACTGGCTCACAGATGTAATTAAAGAAGAAATGAAATAATATCTACAAATAAACAAAAATACAAATACCACTTAACAGAACCTGTGGGATGCAATGAAAGCAATCCTCAGAGGTAAATTTATTACAGTGAATTCTCACATCAGAAACACAGAATGAACATATAAGAACACCCTAATACTATACCCTCGAACTTCTAGAAAAATTAAAAACAGCAAGTCAAACCCAAAACCTAAAGAAGATACTAATTTTAAAAATTACAATAAAAAATAACACAATTGAGACTAAGAAAACAAAACAAAGAATTAATGGATCAAAAAGTTGGTTCTTTGAAAGAATAAATAGAACTTAATAAAATCATAGGTAATCTTATCAAAAAGTAAAGTAAATACTCAAATTCACGCAATAAGGAATGGAAAAAGTTAACTCACTACACATCCTGTGGAAAGAAAGAAGTTCTTCAACACATACTTTGAAAATTTTACTTGCATAGGTTCTGTAGCACAGAAGAAATGGACAGATTCCTAAAAATGTATGAATTACCAAAGTTCTATCAAGAAGACATGAAAGTTCTGAATAACCCAATTTAAGTTAATGAAATGCAATTTAAGTTAATGAAAATGTAATTAGAAACTTACCAACAAACACAGTCCAGGATGTACTCATAATTTCATTCTACAAGAAATTTAGAGAAGACTTAATGCCAACACTCCTCATACTACTCAATGAAATTAAAAGGGAAGAAATTCCTCCTTATTCATTCCTGGAAGCCCATGCCAAAGCCAAACTACAGGCCAATCTCTCTAATGAACATAGATGCAAAAATCCTCAATAAAATACTTGCAAACAGAGTGCACTGCACTATCACTGAAATTATGACCAAGTGTAATTAATCCTAGGAATGGTTAGTCCAACATATTCAAATGAATAAACAAAACATATTGTATCAACAGAGCTAAAGACAAGAATCACATGATCATCTCAATAGATGCAGAAGAACTTTTTGATAAAGTCCAACCCTCATTCATGATTAAAAAAATCCTATGGAAAATCAGAATAGATAGTCTTTACTCAAACTGATAAAAGCTATATATGGTAAACCAACAGTAAAAAATTATTAAATGGTCAAAAACTGAAAGCTTTCAACCTAAAATCAGGAACAAAACAAGGATACCCATTATCATCTCTCTTACTCAATATAGATCTGAAACCATAAAACAAATAAGTCAGACAAAAGAGAAAAATAAAAGGAATAAAGATATGAAAGGAAGAACTTAAACTGTCATTATATGCAGATGGCATGATATTCTACACAGAAGACCCCCAGAGCTCCACAGAATGACTTCTAGATCTCATAGCCAAATTCAGTAATGTAGCTCGATACAAAACCAATACTCAAAACTCAATACATTCCTATACACAAACAATAAATTCACTGAGAGAGAAATAAGGGAACTACATCCCCCATAATAGCATCAAAAAATGAAACAATTAGGAATCAATCTAACAAAGGAGGTAAGAGATATATACATTGAAAATTACAATACTCTGAAAAAAGAAATCAAAGAGGATTTCAGAAATTGGAAAGGCATCCTTTGCTCATAGATAGGAAGAACAAACATTGTAAAAATGGTTATTCTTCCAAATTGTTGTACAGATTTAATGTAATTCCAATCAAGTAACATTAATGTACCTCACAGATCTACAGAAACTATTTCTAAAATTCACTTGGAACCAGAAGAGATCTAAAACAGCAAAGGCAATCCTGGGCACAAAGGCAAAGCAAAAGACATCACAATCCCTGACTTGTAATTATACTATAAAGTGACTGATAAAATCAGCACGGCACTCACACAAAAAAACCAGACCTGAAGATTAATGGAATAGATTACAAGATGCGGCCACAAACACTAACATATTTAGCTACCTTAACTTTGGCAAAGGAGTCAAAAATTCTTACTGAAAAAAGGATAGCCTCTTTAATAAATCGTCCTGAAAAATCTAGTTTTCCATATTCTAAAAACTAAAACTAAAGCCATATCTATCACCATGCACTAAACTAAAGTCAAAGTGCATCAAATATCTAAATACTAAAACAGAAACACTAAAATTGTTGGAAGACAAAGTAAGTAAAAATCTTCAAGACAGAGAGATAAGCAGAGAGTTCATGATAAGAAACCAAACTGAATGGGAAATACTTCACAGAATCAATAACTGCAATCTCATCTTATAAAAAGTTTTTGCATGTCAAAAGGAATCACCAACAGAGTGAAAAAAAACACGAATTTGGGAAAAAATCTGAGCCAACTGTTCACAAGACAAAGGACTTCCTTGTAAAACATAAAAATAATTTTTAAAAACTAGGTCCCCAAAATTCAAAGGCCCAATCCAAAATTGTATATCTGTGATGAATGCAAACTTCTCAGATTAACAAATACAAATGGAAATAAATATATGAAAAATGTGTCAGTGATTTAGTTCAGTAGCATAAGCACTTACTTCACAAGTGCTAAGTCATGAGTTTGATACCTGATAGCAAAAAAAGAGAAATACTCAATGTCATTTGTAAGTTGATAAACACAAATTAAAATTACTCACTCCATTAAAATTACTCACTCCAGAAAGAATTGTTACCATCAAGACATCAATCAATAGCAAATTATGGATGGGTTATCGGGAAAAAAGAACCCTTCTCCAATCTTGGTGGGAGTGTGGACTTGTGCAACCACTGTGTAAATCAATATGGAGATTCCTCAAAAAACTAAGGTTAGAGGTTCCACCATACCCAGCTACTCCACTTCTTGATATTTTCCTAGAAAATTTAAAAACATCATACCACAGTGATATATGCACACCCATGTTGGAAGCAACTCAAACACTTAGGATATTTAAGGAGCACCAGAATTTAGAACACAAGGATCTCCCAAATGCTAAGGAGGCCCAAAAGACACCAGAATGTCAGAACTCACAACACCTAGAGCACCTTGAAGCTCCAGCAGCCCCGGGTTCTCTGGAGCCACAAGTCTCCTAGAAGCATCTGGATCTTTCAAAGGTCCAGGAGTTCTTAGTATGCTTGTCACTCCAGAAGTCTTTGAAGACTTTAATAGTTGTCAAGACATCAGCAGCTTCATAGTTCCCATGAGTCCTCAAGGAGTTGGAGGTTATAGTTTTTCCTCTAGAATATTCATCACCCTTTAGTTGGCATGTCCAAATGCTTCCTGAGTTTCTGGATAAACTCACAGTTACATGAGATTTAGCATGCACCTATATCCCACTTAATTATCTCTGGAGAGCTTTGTTGGCAGTTGCTCCTCAGGTGATGCAGGAAGAAAGATACTGGATATCTGAAACTTCCTGATGGAGCAATTTGAAAGTTTCTTACAAGTGCTCCAGTATACTCTTGACAATCCAGAAAACACACAATATGCCAATCACCATATTCATCAGTTGTGCCAAAAGGAGGGCCTTGTCCACCAGTGTGCAACCCATTTCTACTTCATCGCTCAAGAGCTTAACTGAGATGAAAGTATTTTATTCATCTAATTTTGAATATTTACCAGTTTTATCCAAACTGAATTGTCTTGCACAACCCCATCCACTATTCTATACAATCTGGTCACTCAGTACCTCAACCTAGAAGAGATGTTAAGTGATAAATGTCATCCCAACTCATTAGGGAAAAGTCCTTCAGAAGGTAGAGGTGCACCTGAGAGTCTACTAGCTGTGGACCAGCTTGTGCAAGGCTCAAGAAACTATCCACACCTCAGTAAACTAAACAGACTTATTGTAATTACAGTCATTTGTGCCTCTACTCTGGTCATCCAATTTATTTTGCAGACTGTCCTGCCAAGCTTCATCATGCCAGGCAGGGAATAAACAGTGAGGTCTAGCAGTACAGGGGACCCCAGAAGGGCCAATCCACAAAAAATATGAATTCTTTTCTCTTCCAGTACCCATGTCCTGTATCCTCTGGTTAACTCTTTAAATACTACTGGGATGATGACAGTTCCTTGAGCAAGCAATGGTGGATTCAAACTCCCACAGAAACAGCACTGACCATTCTGTGATTCTTCCAGAGAAGATGCACATTCATAATAACATCTTCCATCTGATACTCAAGATTGTGGGTGGGTGGCCATCCACTGCCAAATGGACCTGTAATGAAGAAAATGACACCTGTTGAAGTCAAAATTGAAAACCACATTGAAGAGATACAGTTTTACATTACTCAGGAGACAAGATGCCCTCTGATTCTTGAAATCCGCTGGTTTGAAACAAATGACCCACATGTCTAGTGGAATATCCATGCTATGTCTTTTCCATCAGGTTACTGTCACCACAATTGGCTCAGATACAAGTGGATTAGAAGGCATATCCTGCTGACACCTAGACCACTGCCAGCCTGCCCCTCATCTCAGACCACCTAGGACTCCCATGCTTCCCATGCTCACCCCCCATGCTTGGATCACCACTTTCAGCCCACCCCTCAGGGACCCCCACACAAACCTCCCGGACCTAGTAATGCTGTTGATCTTTGGCTCCCAACTCTTCTCCCAGAAACTTGGACTACAGCGTAATACCATGCTGGCTCAAGGGGAAACTCAGGAACACCTCCCCCAAACAGAAGACCTCAGAAAGCTCCAGTCAGTGTGGTGAGTTTGCCCCTAAAATAGAGGTCTGCAGGTGGGTAAATAGGAGCATTTGTGAATCTCCCTCCAACTGTAAGACTTTGACAAACTTGGCAAGAGGGTGAGTGAACCCCCCCTCCACACAGAGAACATCAGACAGGTTGGGGAGTGTGCCAATAAGTCCTCCCCCAACTCGGAGAAAATTAAAGGTCCCGCGTAGGCTGCCTGGTCTGCAACTTCCTGGTGTGCTGCGGTGGGCGGGAACACCTAGCTAATTCGATCAGGCTGTGGCTGACAGGGAGGAAAGCTGGGCCTCCTATATACGCTTGCATATATAAGGGACAAAGAATATGGGAAGAGGGAGCAACAAGAAAGGCCCTTTGGCCCCCAAATCCTGAGAAACAGGCAATAGCGGTCACCGCACCAATAGACATAAAGCGCCATCTAGAGGGCCTCATAGATGAGTTCAAGAATGAAGTTATTAATGACCTGAAGCTAGAAATAAGCAGAATAGTTAGAGAAATGCTAAGCACCACCAAAGAAAAAACAGATGGTGGAATGGAAGAACAGAAAAAGAGGGGAGAATTGTTTGATGGAGAAAACAGAGAAAGCATAGAATACGTGAAGCAGGTTCAAAGAGACTACCAGGAAGCTAAAAACTCTATCGAAAACTGGCATAACAGCTTGAAAGAAACTAAGGACAGACTATCTGAACTGGAGGGCAGATTAGTAATATGGCAGAATGAAATGAACAACTTCTTAAAAGTAACAAAGAAACACACAGCAATAATACAAAGACTAGAAGATGATAAGAGGATCCATAACTTAAGAATTAAGAACATAAAAGAAGAAGTAGGGACACAAACAAATGAACTACAAAAGCTACTCACAGAAATAGTCCAGGAGAATTTTCCTAATTTAGCAAAAGGTAAAGATACTCAGTTGTATGAAGCATACAGGACCCCGGCCACCTACAACCCAAACAGAGCTACACCCAGGCATATAATAATCAAAATTCCAGAAATTCAATACAAGAACAGAATATTAAAAGCCATCAGAGACAAGAAACAGACCACTTACCAGGGAACACCCATCAGAATTACAGCAGACTTCTCGGCACAAACCATCATATCACAAAGAGCGTGGGGGGAAATAATTCAAGCTTTGAAAGATAATAACCTCCAGCCAAGATTGATATATCCTGCACAACTGTCCCTAGAAATTGATGGAAAAACAAGGTGCTTCCAGGATAAAGAGGAACTAGGGGAATATGCAACCACCAATTCAACTCTACAGAGAATACTACAGGATATTCTAAAAAAGAAAAATACAAAGAATACTGAAATAGTGGCAGAGAGGCCACAATGAATGGAGCAGAAAACAAAATGAAGAAGACAAACTGACAACTAATGACAGAAAAAGAGCTCAACAGAAATGAGGCAGAGAAGATTGAATGATAGGAATAGCTATTTTGGAGAAAATGACGTCTTAATAGGTAATACTGATTTAGTATCATCGTGTTTTGAAGTCTCATCAAGCTTTTGTTCTTCTGTCTCCATTGGTCTAAACAGGTTGTATCTTATTGGGTTTATTATGTATGATAGTATAAGCAAAAACTTTTAAAGACAAGGAGATTGGCTGCCGCGCCTGGCCATCGGTCTGCAGAGGAGGAGCTGGGCAGATCTGGGGTGCCCTCACTGGCTTTTCTGCGTGTCTGGAGGACTCTGGATATCTCCGCCCAGACTGCTGGAGTTCCCCCAGGCTTCCAGGTGCAGTGAAGGGGAGAGGTGGGTTTGAGGCTTCCACATCAGCCTCCCCATTCTGGTTACACTTGGAGAATTGCTGAGCTCCCGACGGGTGGGCGGGCCCACACTATCAGCCTAGCCCAGCCTGTTTAGCTGCCGCGCCTGGCCATCAGTCTGCAGAGGAGTAGCTGGGCAGATCTGGGGTGCCCTCACCGGCCTCTCTACGTGTCTGGAGGACTCTGGATATCTCCGCCCAGACTGTTGGAGTCCCCCCAGGCTTCCAGGTGCAGTGAAGGGGAGAGGTGGGTTTGAGGCTTCCACATCAGCCTCCCCATTCTGGCTTCACTTGGAGAACTGCTGAGCTGCCGACGGGTGGGCGGGCCCACACTATCAGCCTAGCCCAGCCTGTTTAGCTGCCGCGCTTGGCCATTGGTCTGCAGAGGAGGAGCTGGGCAGATTTGGGGTACCTGCATCGGCCTCTCCATGTGTCTGGAGAACTGTGGATATCTCTGCAACCAGGGAGGGTCCACAGGTTCCTGAGGCACTACGGCCTGTGGTGAGTACCCTAACCTGGCTGCAATTGAAGAACTGTGGAGCTTCCAAGGGGCAGGTGGGCACACAGTGTCCCTGAGGCCCAGCTTGTCTGGAACTGCGGAGTTCTGAGCAGGCAGAGGAGGGCCACTGGTTCTGTAGGCCCAATGGCTTGGGGTAGCGTGGTTCCAGAGTCTCAGTAGCTCCAAACATAGAAGGGGATTTTCAACAGATCCTGAGGAAGCTTTCAAATAACACTTGAAACACAGAAATATAGGAAAATGACAAAACGAAAGAAAAAATTACAACCTCAAACCTCCAGCCCATCTCAAGAAACCCTAGGAGCGATGTATATAGAAGAAAATATATCCCATCCACCTCATATATCGGACACAATAGCTACTGAAATTGACAAGCAACTCCAGGAAGCTTTAAAGAAATTCAAACTCGAAATAATCTCCCAGATAAAAGAAGAAGTGATAAAAGAAATGAAAGAGATTCTAAATATATCTAAAGAAAACACAGATACAAAATTGGAGGAACTAAACCAAAAGATAGAATCCCTACACAAGCAATATAAGAAACAAACAGAATACATAATGCAGATGCACAGAGATATAGAGGAAGTAAAAAACTCCACTGAAAGTTGTAAAAACTGCCTTAATGAAAGTGAAGATAGAATTTCAGACCTTGAAGACAGGATTGCAGCTAATGAACAGGAAAGGAAAGATCTTTTGATCTTTCAGGAAAAGGAATCAGGAAACAACAATTCAACAACTGCAAGACGATGCAAAGAAGAATAACATAAGAATGATAGGGATTAATGAAAGAGACGGAGACAACTTGAAGGATGTCAGGAGGATATTTAGAGAAGTAATAGCTGAAAATTTCCCAAGCATGAGATCAGAAACTGACATCAGGATCAGTGAAGCATATAGAACTCCAAACAGTCATAACCAAAATAAAATTACACCCAGACATATAATAATCACCATCCCAGAAATCCAACACAAGAATAGATTATTAAAAGCTGTCAGAGAGAAAAGACAAATCACTTATAAAGGAAAACCTATCAGAATCACAGCAGACTTCTCAGCACAAACGATAAAGTCAAGAAGAGCATGGAGTGAAGTATTCCAGATCCTAAAGCAAAATGATTTCCAACCAAGACTCATATATCCTGCAAAACTATCATTCAAAATAGATGGTGCAATACGATACTTCCATGACAAAGAACAGCTGAAGAACTTCATGAACACCAAACCAACCCTGCAAAAAATATTGAAAGACAGTTTAGATACAAAAAGGAAAAAACCACTAAGCAAAGCAAATAATTAAACAGAACAGAAAGATAAAGATGCAACAGCAGAGAGATAACATTCCTACAATTAATCAGCATTTAACAGTAATAACCATTAATGTAAATGGTCTCAACACACCAATCAAAAGAAACAGACTAGCAGAATGGATCAAGAAACAAAATCCAACCATATGCTGTTTACAGGAAACCCATCTAACCCAGAAGGATACTCACAGACTGAAAGTCAAAGGATGGAAAACAATTCTTCATGCAGCAGGAATCCAAAAAAAGGCAGGAGTAGCCATTCTGTGTGCA